TTATAACCGTTATTAAATCCATATTTTCCACTAGTGATAATTATATGTTTTTATGTTTGATTTATGTTGATTGTTTGACATTTTATTTAGTTTGTAAACATTTATATGATTTCAGTTGTAATTGTATTTTACTCTTTATTTATAATTTGTAAAGTATAGTTAGGATTTGTGGTGTTGGAAAGGAAGACTTTGAAGAGAAGAAAACAAGAAATTTGACTACCCAGGAGTAAAACCCGACCGGGTAGAAACCCCCACCCGGTCGGGTATGATTTAACAGACGAAATTGCCAAGAAAATCACTGGACCCGGTCGGGTCCCCTACTTGACCCGGTCGGGTCAGATGTGACCCGGGACAAAACGACGTGCGAAGATCACCAGAACGTGGCGGATTATCTGATTTTGACCGGACCCGATCGGGTAAGTACTTGACCCGGTCGGGTACCCGGTCAAAGGTGTTGAAAAACACCTATAAATAGCACACTTTTTCTTCTCTAAAAATGATCCCTTCTTCTATACTCTTAAGCTCAGTTTAGAATAGCATTTCTTTCTATTTTTCTAGCTATGTTTAGTCTCCAAATGAGGAGCTAAACTTCCAATTTTTGGTGTTGCTCTTGAAGCTTGTTGATTATTAAAGTTGTGAGTTATTTTCTTAAACTCCTTTCCTTGAATATTAATTATTAGTTCTTTCCTTAATACTATCTCTATATTAATGTTAGGGAGTGTTGCTAAGATGACAATTAGCTAACATCTTGACATTAGTTATAGTAGTATTTTCTTCCTCTATATTAATGTTGGGGAATGTTGCTAAGATAACAATTAGTTAACATCTTGATATTAATTATGGTAGGATTCATCTTCTTTAATAATATTCTTCCTTGAATATTAATTAATTCCTATTCATATTTCATATTAATATTTTGAACATTACTTAAAGGATCAACTAGTTTTGTTTCATATATTAATTATTACTAGAAACGATCAACGAACCAATGGTTAATCGTTGATGGTTTCACAAGTAACTTCGGTTTATTAATGCACGGTCATGGTTAATAAACTTAAGAGGAATTAATTTTGTTGGTTAAACCGAAACCCTTGTGTTGAGGTTATCAATCTCAATTAATTTCATCAAGGAGTTAGAAAGATTAAATGCTACTATTAAATTGGTATAAGGCGTTGTTCTATATTTGATTAATAGTAAGAGTTATTAATGAACGGTCGTTGTTAATAACTATCCTCGATGAAGTGGATATACTTCTCGATTGAGTATTCGAGAGGGAATAAGTTATAGATATAACAATGATCGACTAAAATATATAAACAAGTGGAAAGTAGCAATGCCAAGTCCTTTTTATCTTTGAATTAAATATCATATAAGTCATTCATCTTAGTTTTTAATTAAATTAAATCACTCAATCCAAATCCCCCCTTTATTTACTAAGTTTCATAAAAAGAGAATTATTCCTTTCCATGTGGATACGAACTCTACTACGCTATATTTCGTATAAGTGTTAGTATTGAAAATTATTTTGACGCACCGTGACAAAGTGCTCGTCAAATTTGGCGCCGTTGCCGGGGAAAGGCAATTATTTTTCTTTTTATTTTTATCTCATAAAAAAAACTTACTCTTCTATTTTCTGAGCTTACATGAGTTATGAATATATGAATACCAACACTTCATCCTTAGAGAGTCAAATTTCCTCTTGACTTCTCTAATAAAGGCATTAACTTTAAGTTCAAAAGCTCAAGATGCCAAGACGTGCAACATTTGCATGTCTCACAGGCATATTACGGATTTCTGCCCAAAGCTCCAAGATGAATATCTTGAACAAATTGATGATGTTGGTTACGAAAGGGATGTACCTCACATGAGGTATGATCCGTTCTCCAACTCTAACATGTCTACGGAGGATATGGTCCGGGCTATTGCCACCAGCATGACCACCATGCAAAACAACATGGTACAATTCCAAAATGAGACCAAGTCTAGCATTTTAAACTTGGAAACACAAATGAATCAAATAGCCGGAGCCGTGAGTAGGCTTGAAGCAAGGGATTCGGAAAAATTTCCTTCTCAAATAGAATATGATCCTAAATAGCAAACTTTTGCAATCACATTGACAAATGAAAAGGAAATGCAAAAGGAGATCCAGAATCCAGAAGAAGTAGAAGAAGAAAAAGACACGGAGCTCCAGCTGGTCAAAGAAGAGGATGAACCGAGTCTCAAGGTCAAATACTCATCCTTATCATACTTTGAGGTACCCCCATCAATTCTAAAAACTTTGAGGGAAACTCATAAAATTGAAAAGGAGAGTGACATTTTTGAAATTCTCAACAAAATTGAGGGATCCAAACATTTTCCATTGACCATGTTAAACGATTATTTCTTTCTCTCACTCCCACCACATGAGTCAATGAAAATCTGGATATTTGATCCTGGAGGGATTTTCAAAGTGAAGGGTCAGAAAATCAAGCATTCCTATGGAAGTCCTAGGAGTGAAAATGTGGCGAAGATAAACTATCACGATCCAAGTTTAAATGATTGAACACAATGATGGCGTCGTGCCGCGACATTAAATCAGGCGCTTCTTGGGAGGCAACCCATGCAAGGTACGTTTACTTGTTTTATTTTATTTTTACACATTTCAAAAAAAAAATATGGGAAACAAACCCGGCCGGGTACACTACCCAAACCGGTCGGGTATCAGGTCAAAACACTTCACCCACCCTGTCACCCGGGCGGGGCAGAAAATAAAAATGAAAAATTTTGATATAACTGACTGGGTGCTTCATGAAACCCGACCGGGTTATCACAAAGGGGAGCTACTGCCACCCCTGGGAAAAGAAACTCGACCGGGTGAATGAGAAATATATCATAACCCGATCCCTGGGATGAAATACCCGACCGGGTACACTACCCCACCCGGCCGGTTATCTCGATTTTTTCGGCCGGGTATCTCGATTTTTTTTGGAAACCAGACCATTTCTCAAAAAAAAAAAAAGAATCACCCCCTTCGTCTTCCCGTTCGAACCAAACCCCAAATTTCCTCCATTTTCAAAAGTCAAAAGCTTCATATCTCCTACATCCATCCACCAATTAAACCCATTTCATTCATCTCCTCTTCACCCTTTTCATCTCCACACCCACGAATCACCAACAAAACCTCCCAAAAGTAACAAAAAAAACACATTCATCTCAGACACAAGCGCTAGGGACAGTGCTTTGATTAGCTTGGGGGGAGAGTTTTATGGAATACTCACATTCATACTCTTTATTCTTGTAAAAAAAATATAAAAGCTTGTTAAGTTGAAAACCTGAAAGGGCAACTTAAGAAAAAATAAAGCAAAAATAAGAGTGAGTTGTGAGGATTAAAACAGAAAAATGTGGGAAGCTGGGATAAAACCCGAAAGGGCGCCTAGGCAAAATGAGAGAACGAGAGAAAGTATTTTCTTTTATTTCTGCAGGATCCTAAGGGTAACGAAAAAAAAGAGGTTGAGGTTGATAAAGAAATATGGAGTTGAAGACCCTCTTTACTGTTATATTTTTGGGGATGTACTTTATGTGTTTCTAAAAATACTCGTGGATGTGTGTGTTGAGATTCTTGTCATTTTAAGGACTTCTTGGATCAGATTTGATTTACTCGAGACGAGTAAAGGTTTAAGTGTGGGGGTGTTTGATGCACACTAATTAGTAGTGCATAATTATATATTTTTATGTTTGATTTATGTTGATTGTTTGACGTTTTATTTAGTTTGTAAACATTTATATGATTTCAGTTGTAATTGTATTTTACTCTTTATTTATAAGTTGTAAAGTACAGTTAGGATTTGTGGTGTTGGAAAGGAAGACTTTGAAGAGAAGAAAACAAGAAATTTGACTGCCCAGGAGTAAAACCCGACCGGGTAGAAACCCCCACCCGGTCGGGTATGATTTAACAGACGAAATTGCCAAGAAAATCACTGGACCCGGTTGGGTCCCCTACTTGACCCGGTCGGGTCAGATGTGACCCGGGACAAAATGACGTGCGAAGATCACCAGAACGTGGCAGATTATCTGATTTTGACCGGACCCGGTCGGGTAAGTACTTGACCCGGTCAGGTACCTGGTCAAAGGTGTTGAAAAACACCTATAAATAGCACACTTTTTCTTCTCTAAAAATGATCCCATCTTCTATACTCTTAAGCTCAGTTTAGAATAGCATTTCTTTCTATTTTTCTAGCTATGTTTAGTCTCCAAATGAGGAGCTAAACTTTCAATTCTTGGTGTTGCTCTTGAAGCTTGTTGATTATTAAAGTTGTGAGTTATTTTCTTAAACTTCTTTCCTTGAATATTAATTATTAGTTCTTTCCTTAATACTATCTCTATATTAATGTTAGGGAGTGTTGCTAAGATGACAATTAGCTAACATGTTGACATTAGTTATAGTAATATTTTCTTCCTCTATATTAATATTGGGGAGTGTTGCTAAGATGACAATTAGTTAACATCTTGATATTAATTATAGTAGGATTCATCTTCTTTAATAATATTCTTGCTTAAATATTAATTAATTCCTATTCATATTTGATATTAATATTTTGAACATTACTTAAAGGATCAACTAGTTTTGTTTCATACAGTGGAGGACCTAGGGGGGGGGGGGGGGCTAGGGGGACAAGTGCCCCCGCTTTCGGCCAGGAATTTCACTACTAGTACTTAGAGTAAAATTAGTGCCCCTGCTTTCGGCCAAGAATTCACTACTAGTACTTCGGGTAAAATTAGTGCCCCCAACCCGTACAAAAATTATCAATATTAGATAACTAAGATACTAAAATGTTACAGACTTACGGTTATATAAATTAAAAGTTAATACATAATATTTAAATTTTAGCTGAATTAAAATAAAAGATATAAAATTCTCAAAAAAGAAATTAATGTGGAGCCACTTAAAAGTAATTTAATGAATTGTGCGACCAAATTAATATGCTGCATTCCCAAGTAAAAGTTTAAAAACACTAAACTACCAAAAATTAAAACCTAGCAGATGAGCAGTCACGCAATGGCATTGCCTTCTAAAATTTAAAATTGCCTCTTTCTATTGCCGCAAATCCGCAATGGCGGAGCCTTCTAAAATCTAAACTGCCGCTCCCTCAGTCCCTTGCTAAACTGCCGCTGCCTAGCTAAATTGCCGCTGCCTTGTTAAACTGCCAATCAGCTCGCTGCCTTGCTAAACTGCCGCTCAGCCGCTGCGGTGCCGCACCGTACGTCCAATCGCCGCTTCATTTGTATTTTGTAAGTTTTTTCGAGTTTATTCCGGCACCTGCTCTTTTAATTTCATTCAATTGGATAACTTGCCACTGTGGATTGTTATAAAAATTAAAATTGTTAATAATCAATTAATCACGAATATTGATGATTGTTTGTTTACTTGAAATTTGATAGTTTGAATTTGTGAATGCGCTCTAATTAGGGATTATGGTTCTAATTTCTAAGTTTTTTATTATTATTTTTAGACTTGATTGTATTTGTTTTTTTATTAGGAATATGAGTTTGGATAAATTTGTAATTCGGACTAAGAGGACTTTAACTCAAGGGGATAGTTCTTCAAATGTTCCTAATCAGTCTATCTCAAGCGATGGAAATGTTATTGCTTCAAATGTAAGCATTGTCCGAGATGAGTCTAATGAAATTAGGGGAGACAAAAGAGCACGGACAGATAATACGTGTGAGTGGGATATCATTAGCGATCCCGCATTACGAAAGCCAATCATTGAATATGATCCTCGAGTAAGAGATGATGTGATGAGAGCGTATGTTGTTAAAGGTGCTTGTCAACCGTTGTCTCATGATTTTCCACGAACTTTATTTGGGAAAAAAATGAGATGTTTTCGAGCAGAGTGGTTTAAAAATTGGGAATGGTTGGAATATAGTATTTCTAAAGATGCTGCATTTTGCTTTTGGTGTTACCTTTTCCGTGGGGTAGAAGGGAGGAGATTTGGAGATGATGTATTTGTAAGGACCGGATTTCGTAATTGGAAGAAAAGTCTTGAAAAATTTAGAGACCATGTAAGAGTTGTAAATGGTGCACACAATGATGCCAGAACACATTTTTTTGCTTTCAAGAATCAAAAGCAAAGCATTCCAAGAAGTCTGGATTCAGGAATACAAACATTGGGTGCTGCATATCACACTCGTTTGAATGCAAGTGTGGATTGTGCTAGATTTTTAATTTCACAAGGGTTGGCTTTTCGTGGGCATGATGAGAGAGAAACTTCACTGAATAGAGGAAATTTCTTGGAATTGCTTGATTGGTATAGTGCACGCAATGCTGATGTTGAGAAAGTGGTGAAAGTTAATGCACCATCAAATCACCAACTTACTAGTCCTAAGATTCAAAAGGATATTATTAGTTCTTGTGCATCAGAGACAACAAAAGTCATAATTAGTGATATTGGTGACAAATTTTTTTCTTTGTTGATTGATGAAGCTCGTGATAATTCTGTGAAAGAGCAAATGACAATTGTTGTTAGATTTGTAAACGATAGCGGAGTTGTTATGGAGCGATTCCTTGGAGTTAAACATGTTGTTGACACTACTGCACTTTCTTTGAAAAGTGGCATCGATGATTTTTTTGCTAAGCATGGATTATCTTTGTCCAAGATTAGAGGTCAAGGATATGATGGAGCTTCTAATATGCGAGGTGAGCTTAATGGATTGAAGACTCTAATCTTGAATGAAAATCCACAAACAAGATATATTCGTTGTTTTGCTCACCAATTGCAATTAGTTGTTGTGGCCGTTGCACAAAAAAATAAGTTTGTGAGTGACTTTTTTGAATATTTGTCCATGGTTACTAACATGGTTGGATCTTCTTGTAAAAGAAAAGACGAGTTTCGGCAAAAACAACATGAAGCCATGGTAGAGATGCTAGAAAAGGGTGAGCTTACAACTGGGAGAGGATTGAATCAAGAAAGTAGTTTAGCTAGGCCGGGAGCTACACGCTGGGGTTCACATCATACAACCATTATTCGTATTCTTTCTATGTGGTCTCCTACTATTCAAGTTCTTGATAATATATTTGATGATGGAACTGATCTCAAATCGAGAGGCACTGCTAGTAGCCTGGTAGAAAAGATGGAGAGTTATCAGTTTGTTTTAATTGCTCACTTGATGAAAAAGGTATTGGGATTGACGAATATATTGTCACATTTCTTGCAACAAAAAGATCAAAACATTCTCGAGGCTGTGAGCTTAGTTAAAAGCACTAAAGCTAAATTTCAAGATTTGAGAGAAAGCGGATGGGATGATCTCTTGGAAGATGTCAATAGCTTTTGTGTCAAGAACAAAATTGACATTCTTAACATGGAAGAGACAAATCGTCGTTCTAGACGTGTTCGTCACCCGATAACAAATTATCATCACTTTCGAGTTGATATATTTTGCCAGGTGTTTATTATTATTATTACTATTATTATTACTATTATTATTATTATTACTATATTTATTTTTGTTTTGACTTTATTATTATTACTATGTTTTCTTTGTAGGTGATTGACCAGATAAGTCTTGAGATGGAGAATCGCTTTAGTGAGTCCAACACAGAATTACTGACTTGTTTAGCATGTCTTGATCCTAGAGATAAGTTCTCTAATTTCTGTGAGTCAAAGCTACTAAACCTCGCGGAATTATATTCATGCGATTTTTCATTCGTTGATCGAATGGAGCTGAAAGAGCAACTCCAGGTGTGGATATATGAAATGAGAACAAATGAATTATTTTCTGCCGTACAGACTATTGGTGAAGTTTGTAAAAAGATGGTTGAGCTTAAAGTTCACAATTCTTTTCACTTGGTATATCGTCTGATTGAGTTGGCTTTAGTATTACCAGTTGCAACAGCCACCGTTGAAAGAGCCTTCTCTGTGATGAATATTATCAAGACAGATCTTCGCAATAAGATGGGAGATAATTATCTTACAGATTGCTTGGTGTGCTACATCGAGAGAGATGTTTTTAGAAGTATTGATAATGAAACTATTATGCAACATTTTCAGAATATGAAAACTCGTAGGCTTGATTTACCAAAGTTGCAGAAATGAACTATTTAATATGTAATTAACTACTCCGTATAATTTATGCTATTGCCTTACTTTTTACCATCTTTATTACATTTGAAATTTTTATTATAGAATAAGTTTAGTGTCTAGTGTGCCCCTGCTCTGAGAAATCTCTGGGTCCGCCACTGGTTTCATATATTAATTATTACTAGAAACGATCAACGAACCGATGGTTAATCGTTGATGCTTTCACAAGTAAGTAACTTCGGTTTATTAATGCATGGTCGTGGTTAATAAACTTAAGAGGGATTAATTTTGTTGGTTAAACCAAAACCGTTGTGTTGAGGTTATCAATCTCAATTGATTTCATCAAGGAGTTAGAAAGATTAAATGCTACTATTAAATCGGTATAAGGCATTGTTCTATATTTGATTAATAGTAAGGGTTATTAATGAACGGTCGTTGTTAATAAATACCCTCGATGAAGTGGATATACTCCCCGATTGAGTATTCGAGAGGGAAGAAGTTTTAGATATAACAATGATCGACTAAAATATATCAACAAGTGGAAAGTAGCAATGCCAAGTCCTTTTTATCTTTGAATTAAATATCATACAAGTCGTTCATCTTAGGTTTTAATTAAATTAAATCACTCAATCCAAATCCCCCCTTTATTTACTAAGTTTCATTAAAAGAGAATTATTCCTTTCCTTGTGGATACGAACTCTACTACGCTATACTACGTATAAATGTTAGTATTGAAAATTATTTTGACGCACCGTGACAAAGTGCTCGTCAATTCTCTTTTATATACTTTAAGCCACACGTCTTGTTTTATACTGTATTATTTATTTTATTATTTATTTATAATTTTGTTTCTGTATGTGTATATATATATATATATGTATATTTATAAAAAACTAGATTAGCTACCAAAAATTTGAAAAAAAAAACATTATTAGGACTCTTTAAAATGTGACGAACAAAAATATTACTTAGTAATTAATTGTGTTCAAACTTATATCGTAGTAATTACATGAAAGTTACTACGATATAAACTTTGAATACGATTGTAGTCACTAATAATTACTAAGTAATATTTTTGTCTATGACTTTTTTATTAGTAATATTTAAGGAAAACCCCCAAATTTTAGGAATGTTTGTATTGTTCTAAAATGTGAAACAATATGGAATTTGACTAAATTAGCTACCGTCAATGTAAACGAAAAATTTTAACGGAAAAACTCAATTAATATAGATTAAATACACAGAGGATTAAAATGATAGATTTAATAGTTTAAGGAAATGTTTCCATTTTTTAAGTGATGAGGCAAGAGCCGGGAGGTCTTTCCCTTAGCTTAGGGTTCGAGATTGTGCCGTCATCGTGTGACTTTTTCTTTATCGAAGCATCCAAGCGCCGACTTGGCCTGCTTCGACGTTTGTGGTAGCGTGAAGGATGGAGGGTGAGGCTGTTAAGATGCACAGGGAAGAACGCGAGCACAAAGGGGAACCGGTAGCTAGCCTAGCCGACAAGTACATGGGACGAGGAGAGTTGCACGAGCTTCGAATAGGCCAGATTTAGATCGACAATGAAGGATCAATTAGAGTGGTACCAATGAAACGGCCTCCTCTTGAACCACCACCATGGGTTGTACGAGGTGCTAGAGTCCGTGAAAGTTTTTGTATTAGTTATTATTATTTTGTCATTTAGTTTCTTGTTATCGTATTTGTTGTTAGGTTTGTCAGTTTATTTGGGAATTTAGCCTTTTTATGTCATTGGATATGTTTGGATCTATGGAAACAGGGATGGCTGCAGTGTCAAGCCCGCAACATGGTTAGCGATTCGTGTTGCTCTTTCAGGGGTGACCGTCTCTAAGTCTGATCATAGGGTTTACAGTTGTTGGAGTTTAGTTGATGCCAGCAGTGGCGGAGCCAGAAAAACAGCTCGAGGGGGGGGGGGGGGATCGAATATCAACCTATATATAGAATGAATATGGTGGATCATTTTAAAACAATGCCTGAGTTGAATATTTCATATGCAGTTTAGATAAATAGACACTCATAGCAATAAGGTAGATTGTTTTTTCCTTGTTTCTGAGTCGTGTTACGTAAGTATTGAGTGAATTATACCCTATTTTTAGAATTTGGGAAAATAATCTATAATATGCATCAAATTTTGCTAATTTTACGTTTAGATAGTTCTGATTTTGAAGAAGTCATAACTTTTTACTCGTAATGAGTTAGGAGGACCATAATATATCAAATCGAAGATATTTCAGAGCTCTATACTATCAAATTTTCAGCGGGGTCGGTTGACCACCCTGACCCCCTTGGCTCCGCCTCTAGGTGTCAGATTTGTTTTTCCTTTGATTGATGTAATGATCCTGAAACTTTTGATATGAATAGAGACAAGTTTTCGATTCAAAAAAAAATAATTCAAGGAGCAAAATGATGTGTTAATTGTTCACAAATAAGCAATATAATAATGCGTTGAGGCGTAATGTAAGAACTTTGAAAATATGGACGGACTATTTATAGTGTATATAATAAGCATGTCATACTCCTCCGTATATATACGCCTCCTGATTACAAACCACCGCATACACCATAGTATCCGCAAATTATAGCGCACCCGGATGTACGGTCCTCACCGTACATCCGGGTATTTTTGAAATTAATTACAAATCTGGTGGTAAAGATTAGGAATGGAGAAGGCTGCTCGGCTCTCGCTGATGTCTTGGGAATCGATGGAGGAGGATCTACGCACATCTCTCTTCTCCGCCCACCATGGCCTTCCACGCACGAAGCAACAACACCATCGTCATCTGTCTGCAATCGCCGTTGCACAGTGTCACGGACTTATTCAGGAGAGTCGTGACAACAGCCTTCGGATGGAGGCTGTTGATTTCGAACCTAAGACGGCGGATTCGAGCTTCAGTGTCTGGTGCGCAGTCGGATGAAGTTCGCCCGCCACTGTAGACCACACTTAATGCTAAAATGAGTTTTATGTTAAATTCAAATGAGTATAACGTCCAAAATGAATGAGCACACACAAATGCATTTTTAAATTTTTTGATACTCATTTCGTAAGTTATGTATGCTTATTTAGTAGTAATTGTATGCTTATTTTAAAATGCCATATCAATAATGCATATTTTTAAATTATTATACTACATTAAATTCGCATATTGTTTTTAATTGAAATCGATTATAGACACAATTTCAAAAATCTTTTTCAAACAAATAAAAAAGTTACATTAGAAGATTTGAAGCAGATTTCACGATACTCATTTTTAGGTTTCTATTACTCAAAAGAATAAGCATGATGCTCACCAAACTTCCATTAACGCTCAATCTAGACAAATTGCTATTTTTATCAAAATTACAAAGTTACTCAAGATATATGGTGCAAGCCGTACACCAGGGTGCATGTGGTATACGAACTGCCATAGTATCCGTTAATTATAATCTAATGATTCCTCTAATAATGAATTAGGTTGGTACAAAAAAACAGTACACGTAACTTTGTGTATAATCTGCATCAATCTTTGCTGGTTGATTGGGTTTGAGTTTTCATGACTCATCATGTCCTTCACGGAAGTCTTTCCAAGAAGCTATAACTGGTGTAACGTATTTATCTCAAAAATATGATTTTGGGGCTATAAATCTGGAACGTCTCCTGAGTTTTAGACCTCGTCGATTAGTTTTCTTGAAGGACCGGTGTTCTGTTTGTCTGAAATGGACTTCTAAATAAAATCATAACTATTGGCGGGTGCATTGAATATTGAACTGTCACCTAATTCTTAGAGCTAGGAAAGAAGTGAGGGAAGTTAGAATTTTGGTTTGTTTCACGAGAATTTTGTTGGTCACAAGAAAGTTATCAAAGCAAAAGCTCTGATTCTCAAATGCTGCAGTTATTGTTGCGCCTTAATAAGTTATTGCGTAACAGGTGTTTGTGTTTTGTCTGCTTAGAACTAGTATATGCTGTGTCATAACAAACCACAGGGATATCTTTCTTCTTCCTTATTCACACCTATACTGCATTCTTGAAATGGATCATTCTAGAGTTGAAGTGGACCTGAAAGAAGGAGTAAAAATTACCAAGGATAAGAATGGAATTGGTCAAGTTCTGCTTCATAATTCCCGAGGAGCATCAGCCCGAGTTAGTTTTTAGACTTCAAAAGATTAATAGACTACATATTTATCAACTTTGTCTCCCCAATATTTTTTAGTCAAGTTCTTGTTTAACACAGTTGCTATTATTACTTTCTTTATAGGTAAGCCTTCATGGAGGACAAGTCCTTTCATGGAAGACTAACCATGGTGATGAACTATTATTCACCAGTAGCAAGGTGTGCAATGCCTGACAAATTATTTTCCTTCCCCTTCTCTGCCTTCTGGGGATGGGGGTTAACACTCATAAATGATTGAAAAATATTTCTGAAAACTTTGATTATCTGTTCATAGAAAATGAAAGATTAGATTATGGATGTTTATCTCTCTATTTATGTTTAAACCATATGGTACCATTTCGTTATGATGCTCATTATACAAACTAGTCTATATTTTGCTTCTTCTGCAAATGAGAGACAGTTTCAACATCGAAGTACTCAAGCATAAGAAAGTGTGTCAAAAGAATAAAAATCCCTAGTATCCAGACACATGCACACACAAACATTTGTATGAATGCATGTATGTGTGTATGCATATGTATTTATGTATGTAGATATCTATAGGGTTGATTTCAAACAAGGACACTCATCATATATAAGACATGGAAAATCTATTCTGAGATTAGTATTTTGTAGTGGTACAACCAAAGTTCAACGGTGTATAAAGAATCAACGGCAGGCTTGTAGTTTTGAATAACTCCCATTTTAAAAAGAAATAATTTGCGCGATCTTCGGTTTGGTAAGAACGGTGGCTTGGAATTTGTTTAAAGCTTTTGATGGGAAGTAACTTTATGGCTTTCATGTAAATGGAAAGTTACTCAAAACTACAAAATACATATTTCTTTATACATCTTTGATCTCCGTCCTGATGGCTAGAATATAGAGTTCCTATCTCTTGTTTTTAGATGTGTGTTCTGATTTGAAATCAACCCCATACATCTACATTCATATACATATACATATTCATATCCATAATCCAAATACATATTCATATGCTTATATACACAACCGTATGTATGTATATATGTATATACACACATATGCACTTCAAATATTTTCATTGCTCTGGCCAAGTAGACTATTAATCCTGCACTATGCATATATGCATATACGTATATATACTCATGAGTAGTGCTGGAGTATATAGAAGTCTAATGCTCGCCTATCCTCACAATATGAGATGAACTATTATTATATATTTTTCCTGTTTTATGTTTTACTGACTTCTGATTTTGTTTTTAACAACTCTATGTGGTTTTTATTACTTGATCTATTATTAGAAATTATCTATCCTGCCCTATTTATTTTCTCAGAGTTTTTCATTTAAATCTGTGGCTTACGTCTCGTGTGGCAACGGTCAAATGCCTCGGGGTTCAATTATTTCTTTTCAACAAACAAAGCTTACGCCTCTATTTGAGTGTTCACATAGAGGCTTAAACCTCTTAGGCGCTTCATAGTTGCCTTTACGCCTCAAGGGCATGCACCTCATTTGCCTTTGAAAACCATGTATGTGTGTGTGTGTGTATATATATATATATATATATATATATATATACATATACATCTAGACACACATATGTATACGTACACACACATGCAACTACAAGATAGTAACTTTTATCTCATTATAAATTTCTATTACCTTACCAGGCGATTTTTAAGCCACCAAGAGCTGTGAGAGGTGGAATTCCTATTTGTTTCCCACAGGTGTGATTTTCTTTCCCTATTTACATATATGTGACTATTTGAGTGTGCAGTAATCTTGACACTTTAACTGATCTGTCTACATTAATGTTTGTGTCAAGTTTGGGAATCGAGGTTCCCTGGAGGATCATGGATTTGCCAGAAACAGGATGTGGGTCATTGATGAACATTCTCCACCACTACACCCCAATGACTCTAGTGGAAAGACATTTGTTGACTTGCTATTTAAACCCTCTAAGGATGATCTTAAAGTTTGGCCTCATGGGTATGACACAGGCTTAAAAATTTCTCCTTCCAGATTATTCAGCTTGACATTATATCTTAAGAAGACTTCTACAATATATCTGATCATTGAATTGGTAAAAAATTTACCAGATTTGAATTTCGCCTTAGAGTTGCCTTGACGGGTGATGGCTCACTGGTTTTGATCTCACGTGTGAGGAATGTCAACTGCAAGCCGTTTAGTTTCTCATTCGCCTTCCTCTCCTACTTTTCAGTATCTGATATCAGGTAACATTATGCTTAATATTTTCTGAAAAAGATTTTGACTTTAATTGAACTTACATATTTAACTGAAAGCATCCTCTTAACCCATTTAAGAAAGTATGTTTTGATGATTAATTGAGTCCCATATAAGAATCTAATCTCACAAACATGATAAAATTCATAGAATCAAACAATAAGAACACTAACCGGTTGAGGAGAAACCGAATGTTGATGGTGTCGTAGAAGACGATGAAGACATTGATGTGTAGATTCTCTAAGGATACAAACCCCTACTGTGATGGATTGATCGGTTCTCATACGAGTCTCTTTTATAATGGTGTTCGAGACCCTTGGTAAGAAGCGTGTCTTTTCCTTTTGTCGTAAGAGTGAGAACCGAACGAGTACTTATGTTTGTATCAAAGAGAAAACCCATTTGATCCCTTATGTATTATTTAATGTTAAAACATACCCATCATATGTTAACAATACATAAATCGGGGACCAAGTCTGTCACATGGCAAACTTAATGGTAAGACATAAATGTCCCCAAAATATATTAAATTATATAAATGGTCCAAGGGCACTTAAATGGAATATTTTCCAACATTCTCCCACTTGACCTTGAGAACATTTATACATAAGTTAAAGTAAGTGTTGGCCAAGAAAAAATTCATCTTACTCCATAATAATATCAAAGCAAATAAATACAGTCTAACGGGTCAATATAACCCGGGACTCCCATTAATCATACTTTGACACTTCTTAAAGAGTATAAGGATTAATATAAGTCAAATGACATTAAACTTAGGGTATTATGTTTGTCTATTAAATAACTTTGTGTGCACAATAAAGAATAGACAAAACATACTTAAGGAGGGATTCTAAATCAAGTACTTGAAAATATTAAATAAGATAACTAATCAGACACTATGCTATTAATTCCTAAACAGGATCTTTGATCAAGCCCATATTAGTGACATGTCTTTGAAAAATACTGGGCGGAAGTCCTTTGGTGAGAGGATCTGCTAGCATATCATTTGTGCTGATGTGTACGATACAAATTTCGTTTTCCTCCACTCTTTCTCGAACGAACAAATATTTTGTATCGAGGAACAATCCCGCTCCACTCGAACTGTTATTGTTTGAGAAGCTCACGGCCGCGGAATTGTCACAATAAATCCTTAGTGGTCTTGAGACGGAATTCACTACTTTAAATCCTTTGATAAGATTCCTTAACAACATCCCATGACATGTTGCGTTGTACACCGCAACATATTCAGCCATCATTGTTGAAGTAGTTGTAAGTCTTTGCTTGTGGCTTTTCCAAGATATTGGCCCACCTGACAGCAAGAAAATGTATCCCGAAGTAGACTTCCTATCGTCTTTGCACTTAGCAAAATCGGAATCGGAATATCCAACCACTTCTAAATTATTAGACCTCTCAAAAGTCAATTTGTACTCCTTAGTCCCTTGAAGATACCGCAAAACTTTCTTAGCGGCTTTCCAATGCTCTAATCCTGGGTTAGATCGATATCTACCCAACATACCAGATACATATGCGATATCTGGACGAGTACAAACTTGTGCATACATCAAGCTTCCAACTACGGAAGCATAAGGAATGAGTTTCATTTGCTCTTTCTCAACCTCGGTTTTTGGGCATTGGAATGACCCAAAAACGTTTCCCTTAACTACTGGAGCAACCGATGGAGAGCATTGTTGCATGTTGAAACGTTCTAAAATGCGCTCAATGTATGCCTTCTGGGACAGGCCTAACGTCCCTTTGACTCTGTCTCGGTGAATTTCAATGCCTATAACATAAGAAGCTTCACCTAGATCTTTCATGTCAAAATGGCCAAATAATAAGCGTTTTGTTTCATGCAACAAATCCAAGTCACTACTTGCTAATAAGATGTCATCAACAGATAACACAAGTATGATGAATTTGCTCCCACTCATTTTGAGGTAAGTGCATTGATCTACTTTGTTTTTAATGAAGCCATTTGATTTCATGACTTCATCAAATTTAAGGTACCATTGTCGAGATGCTTGCTTGAGCCCATAAATAGACTTCTTGAGTTTACACACTAGATGTTCTTGACCCTTAGAAACATAACCTTCTGGTTGTATCATATAAACATCTTCGTGTAAATTTCCATTTAAGAAGGCTGTTTTGACGTCCATTTGATGTAGCTCAAGATCAAAATGAGCTACTAAAGCCATAACGACCCTTAGGGAGTCCTTTCGAGAGACGGGTGAAAAGGTCTCTTGATAATCTACACCTTCCCTTTGAGTGTACCCCTTGGCAACCAATCTTGCCTTGTATCTTTCAATGTTTCCCTTTGGATCTAATTTAGTCTTAAAGACCCACTTGCTTCCAACGGGCTTTTGACCCTTTGGTAATTCAGCAAGTTCCCAAACATCGTTCGTTCTCCATGGAAAGAAGTTCCTCATTCATGGCTTCTTTCCAATGAGTCGATTGGTCACAATTGATGGCATCAAGGAAAGATATAGGATCTACAACTTTCCCTAAATCAAAGTCGGCTTCTTCATTCAAATATATCAAATATTCGTCAAAATTTGTGGGGCGTCTGACCCTTTGAGATCTCCTTAAGGGTTGCTGATTTTCCGGAATTTCATTAGTAATCGGTGGAGTTGGTTCAACATTGATTGGAGTTTCATTCGCCCCTTGACTTGTTGCATCATTATTATGAGGTGTATGACTTTCACTATGATCTTCAAGTGAGGAGTTAGCTGGAATGGGCAGTATAATAAGCGGATTTATTCCATTGCCCTCTTGAAGTTCATCACAAAAGTTTGAACCACTACTACTCCCACTAATGTTAGTATTCTCAAGAAATTCAGCATGTCGAGTCTCAACAATTCGGGTGGTATGAGATGGGCAATAGAACATATATCCCTTAGATCTCTCGGGATAGCCAATAAAGGAACAACTGATGGTTCTAATGTCAAGTTTCTTCAATTGAGGATTATACACTTTTGCTTCAGCCGGACAACCCCACACTTTTAGGTACCGTAGACTAGGTTTCCTGCCCGTCCAAAGCTCATATGGAGTCTTAGGGACAGATTTAGATGGTACTCTATTCAGTATGTGGGTTGCTGTTTTTAAGACCTCGGTCCATAAGAATTGGGGAAGATTAGAGTTAGCCAACATACTTCGGACCATATCCATAAGAGTCCTGTTCCGCCTTTCAGCAACCCCATTTTGTTGAGGGGTGCCGGGCATGGTATATTGGTTGATGATCCCGTGATCTTTACAAAATTCATGGAAAGATCCAGGAGCTTGACCAATATCAGTGTGTCGACCATAGAACTCTCCACCCCTATCCGATCTCACTACTTTGATTTTTCGATCAAGTTGATTTTCAACTTCAGCTTTATAAGCCTTGAACATATCTAGTGATTCGGATTTTTCCTTAATCAAATATAGGTACATATAGCGTGAATAATCGTCTATGAAAGTAATAAAGGACTTATGACCACTTATGGAATCGGGAAAAGGCCCACAAATATCGGTGTGTATTAATTCTAACAAACCAGTGCTTCGTGTGGCGCCTTTCTTAATTTTCTTAGACAATTTCCCTTTCAAACACTTCACACACTTGTCATAATCTGAGAAGTCAAGATTTGGAAGAATTCCGTCTTTCACGAGTCTTATCATTCGATCTCGTGATATGTGGCCCAACCTTTGATGCCACAAATTAGACGACGATTCCAATTCTCTCTTTCTCTTACAAGGATTTTCTGTTATATTAAATGACAAAGGGGATTCCATAAAATTAGTATCTGAGCATAATTTATAGAGATTTCCCTCCATGCTACCAAATCCTATTACATTTGAGTTCAAGCTTATTGTCACTTTATTGTACACGAAATTAAATGTAAAACCATCAGCACTTAGTTTCGATACAGACACTAAATTACGAGTAATATTAGGTACATAAAGAGCATCACGAAGATGAAGAATGAAGTCACTCTCTAAAATTAATGAGATAGATCCAATGGCCTCCACTTCTAATTCTTCTCCGTTGCCCACTTTAATCACTCTTTGCTTTCTTCCCAATGTCCGGATTGAATGGAATCCCTGCGGTGTGTTTGAAACATGAACCATTGAACCAGAGTCAATCCACCAAGTATTAAGGGGAACTGATGTGTTTAATGATTCATAAATTACATAGGTGGTTAAGTTACCTTTCTTAGTCAGCCATGCCTTAAACTTAGGGCACTCCCTCTGGTAATGCCCTTTGAAGCGACAAAACTTACAGTAAGGATCGGAGCTCACGCTTGCACCTATCTTTGGGACCTTAGAAATGTTACCTTTTCCTCCTTGACGATTGCCTTTTCTTTGAGTTTGTGGTGGTGAGATGAGCAACATCTGGTTTTTCAACTTTTAGGCGCTCTTCTTCTTGAACACACATAGCAATCAACTCGCTCATTGTCCACTTCTCTTTCTGCGTGTTGTAATTGATCTTGAACGGACCATAAGATGCAGGTAGAGAAGTCATTATGAAATGAACAAGGAAACCTTCACTGATCTCCATGTCCATACTTTTGAGCTTATTGGACATATCAGACATTTTCATGATGTGCTCACGAATACCACTCACTCCATCATACTTACTTGTCAACATTTTGAGAATTAAGGTACTAGCATGTGCTTTAGAAGTGCCCTTAAACTGTTCTTCCACATATTCTAGGTAGGTTTTCGCATTTTCAGAGTCTGGAATGGCTCCGCGAATAGCTACAGATATGGAATTCTTGATTATCATGAGGCACATTCGGTTGGACCTCTCCCACTGTTCATAAGAACGTTTCTGTTCCACAGTGCTCTCAGCGTTAGGAGCATCTGGTGGATCAATTCTCAGTGCTTGGTCAAGGTCCATCATGCCAAGTGAGAGTTTTACAGATTCTCTCCATGTTGAAAAGTTTGTGCCATTTAGAGGTTCTATCCCATAATTGTATGGGGTTACAGTAGATGCTGAAATAAAAGTTTTAACAGAGGTATTCATGGAAGCTATTTATAATAAACAAGGGAATACAATAAGGCATGTCAATTATGAGTAAATAAGCCTATTATCAACACCAAATAATAGGAACAATTCATATCATGTTTAATAACTAACATTGCGTTGTTGGCTAATGCTAACTATCAAACATTATGATATTAAAATTAAAATTAGGCTGCAAATTGTGTCACACATCACCTTTGGGCAGAAATATAGCACATTTGATTACGCTAAAATTTCATTATACAAGTTATCAAGTAACACACCTTTGGGTTTGTTAAAAGAAAACTCTTATAATTTTTTAAGATTGTTAATGTTGTATCAAATGACTTTCAGTTGGGCCAATCATTTGATTTAACACTATGAGACAAAAAAAATATGCAATTCGTATGGTTTGGTCTTGCACATATTCATTAATACAATTTCAGATTATTAACATATGTGTTTAAAGGAGCATTCTGTGCATCTAAACTAAGTTCTAGTCTGCAATTAAAGTGGTATTCTCTACGTTTTGGAATGAAGTTATTCATTCTGAAAAACATTTGCAGATCCAAAACCAAACTAGTACATCGTTTATGTGTTAATATTGATCATCTTAATCAATAACATAAACAAGCAAAAATTATATGCACTGTTTAGCAGATTGCACTATGCACACTTAAGTTCATGCATTTTAGTTGTTTGTCTTAGTCAACAGAGAAGCAAATGGGTTGTAATCTGCATTTCAAACGATGCTATTCAATCTGGACCAATTTGATCAATCTGGAACAAATTTTAAACTGATGCCGCATATTGAAAATTTTGTTTTCATTTTCTACCACGGAAAGGCAAATAAACTGATTCAAATTAAAAGTGAGTTTAAAAGAAAGATGAGAATCAATTATCCGGTTGAGTATAAAACACCATAATTCCATACGTGTATTAGGGGCAGTGAAAACAAAATTGAAAACAACCAGTTCAAAGTCTAGCGGAAACAGCATGCTCAATTCACAAAACATCGAATTATCATCAAAACCAAGAAACTATATTGATAACCGCAGACTGAGAATCAAACGGAAATCACATGCTTTATACTTAGTATGACGGAAAACATCTTTCAACCCCAAATTGAATGATTACTATTGGGATTTCATCAAATTAAAACAAACAGTTGCATTTACAAAATGGTTGATGCATCAACGAGCAACGAATTAAACTCAAAACAGTTGGTTCAAAATCCAGAAGAAACAACATCACAACAGGAATTCTTAAACGTCTTTTATCCCATGATGAAAAGTATAATCGACAAAACTAATAAATCATTTAGGCATACTCAAAACTTCAAATTTTATCAACGTAAGTAAGAATTAACAGGCTCTGATACCAAATGATGATTAATTGAGTCCCATATAAGAATCTAATCTCACAAACATGATAAAATTCATAGAATCAAACAATAAGAACACTAACCGGTTGAGGAGAAACCGAATGTTGATGGTGTCGTAGAAGACGATGAAGCCATTGATGTGTAGATTCTCTAAGGATACAAACCCCTACTGTGATGGATTGATCGGTTCTCATACGAGTCTCTTTTATAATGGTGTTCGAGACCCTTGGTAAGAAGCGTGTCTTTTCCTTTTGTCGTAAGAGTGAGAACCGAACGAGTACTTATGTTTGTATCAAAGAGAAAACCCATTTGATCCCTTATGTATTATTTAATGTTAAAACATACCCATCATATGTTAACAATACATAAATCGGGGACCAAGTCTGTCACATGGCAAACTTAATGGTAAGACATAAATGTCCTCAAAATATATTAAATTATATAAATGGTCCAAGGGCACTTAAATGGAATATTTTCCAACATGTTTTGGATGGTCGTACCTTTACATTTGCCAGATAAAATTTGTTACAGTGAAGTAAGATTGGAGGGTGTAGAGACTCTCGATTATCTTGACAACCTCCGTGACAGAGAACGCTTCACAGAGCAGGGTGATGCATTGACATTTGAATCTGAGGTATAGATCATTGCATCTGATTATATCTAGAGCCAATCTGATGCATGCAAGTTTTGCCTTCTTCTCTATATATATGTTTAGACGTTTTTAAAAATGTTGCAAACATTGAAACAAATGAAGGGGCCTTACAAAAGTTCATTAATCTCATTTATGTTCAATATATTAAATGTATTTTAAGGTTAGGAGTTGATATGGGCAAATTTAGAAAATTAGTACCAAGTAAAAGGGGGGAATTTCAATGAGTGATTCATTTGAAAGAGCAACTGGTAAAATCCATTTCAGTCAAATAAGTAAAAAATTGCATCTACTGATTCGGTATAGGTGGACCGAGTTTATCTAAGTTCTTCAGATGTGATTGCTCTCTTTGATCATGAGAAGAAGCGGACTATCTTTATCAGGAAGCAAGGGCTGCCAGATGTAGGTAAAATATCTAAAATTCTTATCTGAACAATTTATCGAATTACCAAAAAGGACTTGCCAAGTTTAGAGGCCGAAATGGCGACGAAAGTATCACAAAAGACCCGGTTTGCAACTTGCTGCATCCATGACTGTTGATAATATTTGTTTTGTGAAAGCAGTTGTCTGGAATCCATGGGAAAAGAAATCAAGAACCATAGTTGATTTTGGAGATGAAGAGTACAAACAGATGGTGTGTGTGAATGGAGCAGCAATTGAGAAGCCAATCGTGTTGAAGCCAGGCGAGGAATGGACTGGACATGTGGAGTTAGCCATTTCATTTACAATCTGATCACCATCAACTGTTATTTTGCTTGTAGTTAACCTGTTTTATCACTTTTTTGTATCTATCATTCCCATTGAGGTAATATTATGAGTAAAAATGGGGGTGTCTTTTAGTTATGTATCCATAGAAACTTTTATGCTTCTTCAGCTGATGATTTTTTCTTTCTTTTTGAGTTGCAAGAACGAAATAAGGATTTAACAACGGATTCAAAGACAAAAACAAAGGAACATTAAATTCAAGAAACAAATATTTAAAGAACACAAGAGATTATTTGAATAGGGGCTAACATTGGCCGATCGAAAAGAAAACATTAGTGCTCTAGGTAACAATTTTTTTTTGTTCAGTTGTAAACACTAAAACTAGGATATAATCCAGATTCAAAGCCCAAAAATAAAGGAGCATAAAATTAGAAGCACAGTGCTTTAAAAGAAACGTGAGACTATATTTTGATCTGGGCTAAAATGTGTGGCTTCTAGGTAAAATAAAATACAGATGCCAAAACAAAGACCAGGGAAGCTACTCATATCAGAGCCAGGTTTCGATCCTGGGACCTGTGGGTTATGGGCCCACCACGCTTCCGCTGCGCCACTCTGATTTGTTGAAATACATTCCGTATGCTAAATATATATAATGAATATTTACTCCTAAAGCAAGTGGCGGAGGCATTCTCACTTCCCACGCAGCATGTCGTACGAAGTATTAATTTTTTCATTGATAGATTAAAGTACGTTTTAAATAACCTTGTCCGGAGTATATTCTATCATGATTAAATTTGAACAAAGACTGAATTCTTATTCCATTTCTTTAACAATCTTGTCCTAAAGTTAATTTATAAAATCTGAAATTGTTTGAAAATACTGGGTTTAACATTTTGCATTTTAAAAAATAAATTTGGTTGTTCATACTTAAATGGAACTTAATAAATTTATCATGTCAACATCAATTAAGTCGTTATCTACTTCTAATTAGAATATTACTGAAAATATATAATTAATATAACTACTTTTGAGTTTTCCTAAAAAATTGCGTACATAAATCGTTTGTGTCCTTTACTTAATACAGAGTATTACATTTTCACTAATTAAAAAGTAATCAATGCCGTCATGTTGCTCCACCACTGATGACGATATTGACCACCGCCAATAGTTAATAGTTACTACCACAACCGTTGGGCGTAGCTGAAGTGGTAGTGAAGGAGTGCCACAAGGATTAGGTCTCGGGTTCGAATCCTGACAACTGTGATGAGAAGTTACTATGCTAAAAATGCATAGGGCACGCCTCTGCAAGTACCGAGAATAAAACCCCACTCTCTATATGTCAGATCGTGATTATAGTTCAATTTACATCCTCCCAACGTACCGTCCGATCGATGTTGGGGGCAATCAGAGTTGGGGTGTCATCATTTTTTAGTTACTACCACATTCCAATCTATTCGTGATCAGCATCAATAGTTACTACCAAAGCTCTGTTAGTGATCCCGCCCAACTTTAACCATATTAAAGAATAAAGATAATCATTCTCACTCCAATTAAATTAAATCATTAGTGAGTCTGGCCAAACCGCTACTGGGCTCACATCCTAAACCTAGTCTAGCTAGGTTGTGCCTACTTCTCTATCATTTGCACAACTCTTATATACATAATTTTTTCAGCTATTAGTCCTAGGTAGGATTGAAATTGCTTCTAAATGCAATTATAGGACTACAATCTTTCTATTCACAAAATAGGAGTAATATAAGTCTCACTTCCTATTCTACCACTTCCTATAATCCCTAATACATTTATTTTATTAATAACAAAATCATATTTTTATTTATAATAAAAATATACTACATTCACCCGAAAAGGTTCGCCATAGACTTTTCTCCATCAATGATGACAAACTTTGGACAACGATTTTAATTACAATATTTGTATATAATTTATAAATTTTATACTTGTATGAAAATATTCAAAATAATTTTGTATTAAAAAATATTATTGGTCAAAGTTGATTGTTATTGACCAAGAAAAGTCAATTTGGCAAACTTTGTAAGAGTACAAAATATGTAAGAGTAGCTAAGTGTGAAATCCGGTTCTGGGAGCCCTTTGTGGCCGACGGAGCCATGGCCGATGGAGACACGGCCGACGGGGACACCCGGTTCTCCTGGCTTCTGGACCATGTTCTGTGTTGATATCTTTCTGGCCGATGGAGTGCCATCTGGCCGACGGAGGCCCCACTGGGTGACAGCTGTGCCTCTCATTCTTCTGAGTATGTGGATCCTAGGGTGCAGACCCATATACTCCAACAGTAAGGGTTAGCATTCATTTACTCTCTAGTTCTAATAGCATTCTAGCTCAGTATTAGCCTTTGGGTTTGAATAGTCGTTCGGCCATTTCTGTGTAATCGTTATTACTGCATTAATACAAGCTGAGTAATTTGAGTAGTTGAATCAGATTTTATATTTCCTCTTATACACGTTACTATAGTAATCCAACCCAAGATCCAAGGTTAGTGTTGGACCTTCGGGTCATTCGGGACAAAACGTCAACACATCTTTAGTGTTATTTTATGGGTTCAATTTTATATTGGTAATTCACAAATTGTGTTTTAATTTGCGAGTAAGTTAAAACGAAGCATTGGACCCTTTTGACATAAAAAAAATCACCGTGTGAACAAAAAAAATGGTTAGTAGACCGATCTAAAATCTGCATTAATGAATTGAATTCCAAAATCATAATTTGATTATGGCAATATTTAGTACATAAAACTTAATAAGGGTGGAACTAAGGATGTATTTAATTGGATTGAAATCTTCTAGTCTGATCTAATCTGGTCTAGTAAATGTCTGTTCTCTATATAGTTTATAACTGTCCAAGTGTAATCTAGTCTGATCTGATCTATTCTGGTGTCGGGTGAAAAGAGTCCAAATAAAAATATTGTAAGCGGATAGAAGTGCATGCGTTGTGCATTGGGTGGCCCTCTCCCAACTAATAGGAAAAAGAGTCCAAATACAAATTATACAAAAGATGCAATTATGCAAAACATGAAATTTTACACAACAAGCATGGAATCTGCAAGCATGCCTGGTGTGTTTCTAACATTATATATGCATGGAAATAGAACATCGAAAAACACTGAAAATAAAGTATACGGCCGGCAGCTAGAGTGTGTGATCCAAGCATATAAAAACAGCATGTTATGGACAAATGAACTACGAAAACAACTATATATATATATTATAGTCCAAATGATGTTTAACTACAATCCAAGTATGTCTATAATAGGGAAATACGGCATGTTGTGTTCCAAACTAGGTAGATATATACGGCATACTAACAGGTGGCTTTTGGTCCATCTAGTTTCCACTATATATGTAATAGCTGAGATTAATTTAAGAGGATTGATAGTACTACTCATATCAACAGAGGTGCATCTCCTTTTAAGGGAGCTCATCACCCAAGAGCTCCAAAATTAAGCGTGCTTGCACGAGAAGTAGTCTTGGGATGGGTGACCCTCTGAGAAGTTTCTCAGGGCGCGCATGAGTGAGGAAAAAGTGCACGGTAAAGGCTCTTGGTGGTTTGTGAGGACAGTACTATTGGTCTAGAGTAGCTGTTGGGTGTGTTTCGGAAAATAAAGAAAATTAATTAAAATAAATTAATTAAATAAAATGACTAGAGAAAAACAAGAAAGGAGATGAAGCAGAATTAGCCAAAGCTCGTGCTACGCACGATTTCCTTAAAACGTATTTGTTGCCTCCCACGGTGCTAGGAGCGTTGCAACAATCGTTTCCCAGGATACGATGAGTACGAACTAATGTTTGAGCACACAAACAAGAGTTCCAGCGAACGAGAACCAAGTATGAACACAGAAGGAATTTTGGGAGTAGCTGGAAGAGTTTTTAGCTCAAGAAAACGTGAGGAAAGTGTTGTGCGTTGTCAAACCGTGTGTTTGTTGCAAAGCACCTGCCAGCTATTTATAGGAGGATTTGTTGTGTGTTAAATGGGGTGTTAATGGACCTGAACGTTGGACATCAATGACCAGTCCGTTGGGCATTGAATCGTCCATAAACTGTCCATTTAAAGCAGCATTAAAAGAGAAGAACGTTGGGCATTAATTGTTGTAACGGAAGAAGTGCGCGACAGAAGACCCCAATAGAACACCCCTTGGAGGGTTTCTGTCCGAAGCCAACAGAACCCCCTTGGAGGGTTTCAGTCCGAGCCCTTCTGGGAAAAAATAAACGTTTCGGGAAGAAAACAAAAATTAACCGTATCTCTTGAGAGATAGATTTTTGGACGGCATTCGTGTCCGTAGGTCGCCCGCGCACACGAGTCGCGGTTTTTCTTCTCCGTTTCGGGATTTGATCGGCACCCCCCCTGCGCGTAAGAGAGAGCCTTTCCCTTTAGGAATCTTAACTCCTTAAAAGAGGCTTCCCTTTATAAGGGGGTGAAAATCCCTTGAGTTTTTCGGTGTGGGATAAAACACACTAGAAACTCATCATTTTCCCAGTTTTTCCATTTCAACGAGGGAACTTTGAGAATCAATTTCTCATTCACCCGTTATCCGTTTTGAGCGTACCATATATCGAATTGTAGCCCTTAACATGGACAATCCGAAACCACTTTGACCCGACCCAAATCGGAAGTGGACCCCACTCAAATAATTGCCCCAAAATGACCATTTAATGCAATTTTTAACACATTTTTCCAACAATCCCCCACATGAATGAAAATTGATTTTCGAGACTTAAAAAGACACGAAGATAGGAGGACACGTTGTGTTCACCGGATGATCCTTGCATACGGAGAGGTAGGTTTTATCCTTTGAACCTTCCGTTGTAGAGACACGTTTATTTACTGGCTGTCTAGTAGATTCGATGTCCTTGAACTATACTGCCGTCGTGTAAACATTGACTTATCTTTACACAAGAACCTTCCAACTTTGTTCCGTTCTCATGGGTGTGCCCGTTTTGGCCATGGGTCACCGTCCTGGTTCTGCAAGAGTTTCTAAAGAACTGAGCCTTTACAGTTCTCCTTTGAAGCGACCCTCTTCTCTCTCACATAGGTGATTCTTTCACGAGTATCCCGCATACTCTTCCAATGTTATCGAGTAGATCAACATTTTAGAATCACTAAAGCAAACGTTTTTTGCTAACCTCGTGCGGGAGTCAC